AATAAAATAAAGAGAGTAAGGGAAAGAAGAACACCGAGATTTATACTGGTTCACCACCTCGTGGCTAATCCAGTCTTCCGAGAGACTCTCTCGAAAGTCCTACTAATCTTCAAGCTTCAACGGGTGCTTGAAAAACCGGTACAACTTGAGAACTTGAATCACACAAGCCTCACTTTCTTACAACAACAAGACTTGAGTCACACAAGTCTTACGAACAATCACTCAAAAGAGATTGAGTTTACAACACAAGAATGAAAGCTCACACAATTGAGCAAGTAGTGTTTGAAAGATTTAAGCTCTATGGATGACAACTTCTTTAGCACTCAAAGAAAAATATTTCAAACTCTCAAAAATAATATTTTGATGAGGAAGATGAAGCAAAGGATGAATATAGCTCAAAGAAATATATTGGAGTGCAAGAGGTGTCTTTTGAAATGAAGGAGAATGAGGGATTAAATAGGCTGAGGAAAATAAAGCCGTTGGAGCAGGCTGAGAATATGCACTAGATAAAATTAATCGATTAAAGTAAAAGTTTAAATCGATTACTGTACACAGAAGCGAAAAGCCTGAAAAGAAAACTGAATCATAATCGATTAAATGAAGACAAATAATCGATTAGGAGGTTCGGTACGAACTAATCGATTAACGAAGGATAAATAATCGATTATTGATCAAGGTTGAGCAGCCCAACGAATAGCTTATAAATCGATTAAAGTGAAGCAACAAATCGATTAGGAGGTTCTGTCCAAGCTAATCGATTTTCTTAAAAGAAAAAATCGATTAAGAGTTGAAACCTGAGAAATTGCGCTGGATCTAATCGATTATCTTAAAAGATATAATCCATTAAAATGAAAAATAATGCGCAAACACAAAGGGCCCAAGCCAAGTGCGATTGGAAGCACTTTGGCTTCTAACTCGTTGTTTGGGACAACGAGAATAACAAGGCACGCTCCTGGGATTTTATCTTCTATTCAATGAATTTGAGTAGGGGAGAGAAAAAGAGTCCAAAAGAAAATTATTTTGTGTGTCAAACAATACACGAAAAATATTTAAAGTATATTTTTCTCACCAAAGAAAATTGTGTAATCTTAAAAATGTTTTAAAGAAATTTTTACACACTTATTTTGAAACTGACTCACTAAAATATTTTAGACAGAGGAAAAGTGATTTTTCAACTGACTCAAAAATAATTTTTATCCCTCAGAAAAATAATTTGATTGTGCAGAAGATAATGTCATCCTTACAAAATTCTTAGACTCAATAAAAAATCTTCGGAGTTTTCGCTTCACTACAAAAAACTGCGTAGGGTTGAGCGTGAGTTTTATCGTCGAAACTTCTTGATGCCCTTCTTTGCTTTTCTCGATCCGAAAAAAAAATTTTTGAATATCGATTTAATCATCCTGTTTGTCAATCATCAAAACAAAAATAATCCAAAAAATAATAAAGAGGTTTGAACTCATGTCCAACATATACTCTATTATGTACTTCATAATTCAAAAGAGCAATATTATTATTACAATATTTCAACATGGTATCAGAGCCATCGCTCTTGGAGTCTTGGTGACCTAAAAGAGTTCTTTGCTTCCTCGCTGCTGCCGGTAATTCCGGCGACAGCAGCTCCACCCTATTCACCTCTATTTTCTTTTCTTTCTTTCATCCTCAAATTAACTTCTCCATTGAAATGAAAAAAAAAGAAAAACAAAAACCCATGTTGAATCACACAAAAAAACCATCAATGGAGGAACTTCTCTCGTGTCATCTCCATGGTTCTTCAAAAAACTCAACTCCTCACAAACTCTCTCAACTCATCCTATCTTCTCAAAAAAACGATTGTAGTTTCTCTCCGATTCAACATATCAAAATCTCAGGCTCAAGTCTTTTTTTCATCACCAATTCTTAACCTACTTTTCTCTCTAAAATCACTCATTCTAATCATCAACCTCTCTTCTCTTTCTCTTCTGTTGAACAAATAAAAATCCAAAGTAAATCGGCACAAAAGCAAAGCCAAGGGGGAAGTAGTGAAAAAGGAAAGAATACGTCTACAACTCACCCCTTCAAGAGGGAAATAAGGCATTGCCTGGATCCAAGAAAAAGACAAAGAATGTCAAGGATCTTCAATCAAACAGACACCTCCAATAGCCTTCTCTGTTCTTCTTCGTCGTCAGCAGCTACAAGCGCACGTCAACCCTTTCTCTCTTCTTCAAAGACGTCATCAGCTACCAGCACACGTCAGATTTATCTCTTCTCAAAGTTTTAAGTTTTCAGCTAGGGTCCAAGCTTCCTCTGGCTTCATCCAGAGTTCAGCTTGAGGGGGGATGTTAGACAATAATACTAATATTACTTCTGGTAGTATTGGTTATGGTAGTTGATGGGTATATTTCACCCATGACCGGTCAATGGTCAGATCCAGATAGTTGACCGGTCAAAGGGGTCAAACTTGAGAGAAAGATCCGTATCGTCGGCGGAGAGACGACGGGTCGAACGCAAAGTTGACCGGTATACTTCGGATAGTATACCGGTCAAATTACTCCATCATCTCGAACCAATTTCCGAAGTCAATTAATCAACCCGCGATGACCAGCCGGGGCAGTTTTTCAAGATCGATGAGTGTCGGCAGGAAGGATCCAAAATAACTTGGATTGTAGTGGTTGGCATTGCTGGGGAACCAGTGGAGATGCTGGAGGAATATTTCCAAGCCAGAACGCGACAAGGGGGGTAATCCCCCTCGCAAGATGACAAGGTGGCTCAGGGACAGTCATCTCGCACCACATCAGCAGCATGCCCCCACGTGGGCGCACGTGGTCCTGTCCCCCCATCTTAGTATATATACCTCTTGTAACCCTCGAGGAAGGGGATCAGAATTCATTCTCTCTAAACTCCCTTGTAAAAGCACCCGTGCATTCTCCGTTATAATATAGATTGGGTTACAGGTGTTCCACCTAAAGTCCTACCGGTCAATCTGCGTGTTTTTTCCTTTATTACTTTGCCAAATCTAGCAAACTATTCTAAACCCGGTCTAGTATAGTTTGACTGGTCAAGTAATTTACACCATCATTTTTGGCGCCACCCGTGTGACCGTTAAGGTTTCTTCTCCTAAACACAAACCTACCCACAAAAACACCACTCGAAATGTCTTCCAGCCAACAAATCAACGCTACTTCCGCTCAGGTGCAAGCCACCAATGAGGGTACCAGCATCCCTGTGGCTGCTACCATACCGGTCATTTCAGCCCCGGTGTTGCCTTTGGGTCTGAGCTCTGTCCCAACGCCTAGCGTGATCAGCCCATTCACGACCCCCGTCCCTTCCCCTGGACCGAGGGTCACGTTCCCACCAAGCATGACTCAGTTCATGAACGACCCAGCCAACCTACAAGCCATCCGGGGCTTCGGCCAGGTCATGGCCATGTGCCAACAGAGCGGGGGGATGCCTTTTCTCCCTGGTATGTTCCCGTTCGCTCTTCCAGGCGCGGGAACCATGCCCCTACAAGCTCCGATGGCGGTGACGTCGTTCCATACGCCGATGCCGCAGCCATCACCTTTCCAACCCCAGCTGGTCAGCACCATGGCCCCTGTCAACTTGACAGGCGCACTTAACGCTGCAGGGCCGTCGCGTCCCCCGCAAGGTACGAATCCGCAGGTCACCCTTGATGGTCATTGCGTCTGAATTGAGAGTGATGACGGCGAGTGGGACATTCCAAGTGCCCACAAGAAGAAGAAAGGGAAAAACATCCGGCCAGCGACCTCCCGAAACTCCGCCTTTGAAAGGCTGGGGGATAGGGAGGAAGGCTAGAGGAAGTCAGCCAAGCAAAGGCTGGGGCAGAGCGTTGCCCATGTCAGCGCGTTCGCCCGGCTAGGCGAGGTGCGGGAGGCTGAGCCTGCCCGCACTTGGCGCTCCCGGTCTAACCGGCAAGAGCCAGCAAGGACGAGGGCCTCTCGTCAGGAAGAGGAAGCAGAGAGCCAGCCCAGGTTACCGGTGACGAACCGGTTGACTGTCCCAAATGACCGCGTCCAGCAGATGGAGGCAAAACTAGAGAGGCTGGAAAAGAAGGTCGTAAAGAAGAATGACCGGGACAAACCCCTGGCAGGGTCCCCGTTTACCACAAGGGTTCACCTGACACCTTTCCCGCGAAAGGTCAAGATCAACGCCCCCAGATTCACCGGGAAAGAAGATCCAGAAATCCATCTGGACTCCTTCAACCAGAGTGCGACCATGAACGGTTGCACCGATGAAGAAAAGTGTCTACTTTTCTTCCAGACCTTGCGGAACCGAGCCACTGAATGGTTCAATAAGCTTCACCCGGGAAGCATTGATTCGTTCAGTGATTTGGCCTCGAAGTTCAAGGCCAAGTTCCAAGAGAATTGCACTAAGAGGAAGAAATTCACCTATCTTAGTACAGCCGGGCAGAGGGAGTCTGAGAACCTTACTCAGTTCCTTACCCGGTGGAAGGAAGAGGTAGACAAGGTGGAAGAGATGGATGACAAGACCGTCTTATCCCTCCTATTGAATGGCTTGCGTGCCGGGGAACTATACAAGGAGTTCTGCCGGAAACCCCCGTCCATGTACCAAGAGGCCTACCACATTGCATGGGAGTTTGCTGAGGCTGAAACCCAACTCCGGGAAAAGAAAGAAGCTGAGCATGGCTACAAGCCCAAGCCAGTGCAAGTTAAGAAGGAGGAAGCACCGGGACCTAGCCGGCCAAGACACCACTATGAACCAGTCGTCCGTATGGTCAATACTAGAGAATGCCAAGAAATCCGAAAAGCACCGGTCATCCCTCCAGAAAATGCTACCGGTCAAATCGGGCGGCAGTGGTCGGGCACCTATTGTTCGTACCACAGGTCGGATTCCCATAACACCTCCGAATGCAAAAGTGTTAAGGGGGTCATCCGGCAGATGATCGACAGTGGAGAGCTGGGCAAAGATTACTTGCAGAAAGCTCAGGAGAAGAGTCATCAATGGGTTAGGCCAACTGCCCCAGGAGATGACCGGAACAGTGACCGGCGGAGGAATAACCGGCCAAGGGAGCGGCAACCTGCTCCCGGAAAAGAGCACATTGGCATGATCTTCGGCGGACCCGAGGGTGGAGATTCAGCCGCGCAGCGGAAGAACTGGGTCTGGAGCATTTACGTTGGAGAGGTAAGTGCTGAACCGCCCAGGCGTAAACATACTAGAAGGGAGCCGATCGTCTTTACCGACCGGGATCTCCCTCCTACCGGTGAAGATCACAATGATCCATTGGTCATCACCATGGACATTAATGGGGTGGATGTCGCCTGGGTACTTGTTGACACCGGGAGCAGTGTCGACATCTTGTACTTGGAGACTTTCCAAAAACTCAGGTTGTGTCGGACACAACTTGAACCCCTCAAAACCCCTCTCTCAGGCTTCACGGGAGACACCGTTGAAGCTGAAGGATCCATAGTTCTACCGGTCGAACTAGGATCAGGTGAAAAGACCGTGTGGAAGAAGATGAGGTTCATAGTTGTGGACATCAAATGCGTCCACAACGCAATTCTTGGAAGGCCCGACATCAATAAGGTCGGGGCGATGATTTCCATGCCTCATCTATGCATGAAGTTCCACACTCCAGGTGGTGTAGGTGAGGTGAAGGGTGACCAGAGGAACGCCCGGGAATGCTATGCCCGGGCAGTCAAGAAGATGACCAAGGGAGTCAATGTCATATCTCAAGAAATGACAAAGGGAGAGACCCGGGAGAAATTGGAGCCCGAGGCCGAGACGGTGGAAATTGAACTTCACTCGGGTGATTCTTCGAGGATGGTCAGAGTTGGAGCAAATCTCCCCGAAGATCTCATGGCGGAGATTACACGGGTCCTCCAAGAATACGCGGGCATATTCGCATGGAGCGTGGCGGATATGCCCGGGATAGATCGCTCTGTTATCTGCCACCGGTTGGCCGTGAGGGAGGGAAGTCGACCGGTACGTCAGAAGAAGCGGTACCTGGCCAGTGACCGACGAGACTTCGTCAAGAAGGAAGTGAAGGACCTCCTCAGTGTTGGTCACATCCGGGAAGTCAAGTATCCGGAATGGCCGGCCAACGTTGTCCTTGCTCCCAAGGGCGACACGTGGAGAATGTGTGTAGATTATACGGACTTGAATAATGCTTGTCCGATGGATTCATATCCCCTTCCCAGTCCCGATCAAATGGTGGACGAAACTGCGGGGTGCGAACTCCTAAGTTTCATGGATGCCTTCAAGGGTTACCACCAAATCTACATGGCCAAGGAAGATGAAACTCTGTATCTGTACCTGGGAATTTCCCCAAATGCTGTAAACTCCGTTTTAATAAGAGATGATGGGGCACAAAAGCCCATTTACTATGTGAGCAAAGCACTAAACGGGGCTGAGAGTAGATATACGGCGATGGAAAAGACAGCCTACGCGCTTTTCATCTCTGCAAAAAAGTTAACATTCTACTTCCAAGCTCACCCGGTGGAAGTCTTGACTGACCAACCGCTAGGTGCAGTGTTGCGAAATTCAACATCCTCCGGGAGGATGGTGAAGTGGGCGATGATGTTAACTCAATTCAAAATTGAGTACCGCCCAAGGTCAGCAATCAAGGGACAAGCCCTTGCTGAATTTCTGGTAGAAATGACTGGTCTAACTCCAGACCTACCGGTCGACAAGCCCACTGAGCAATAGTGGGAGATGGCAGTTGATGGGGCATCTGGTCCTAGAGGATACGGGGGTGGTATCGTGTTCACCACCCCAGAAGGGTTCAAGATCTACCATGCAATCGTCTTCAACTTCAAGCTGACGAACAATGAGGCAGAGTATGAAGCTCTGGCTGGAGGGCTCAGACTTGCCCAAGCCCTTAAAATCAGCCGGGTCAGTATCAAATCTGACTCTAGCCTGATCGTTAAGCAAGTGACCAGTAACATGGAAGCAAGGGAAGAACGCATGGCACAATACAAGGACCTTGTACTTGCCCTGTTGAAAGGCTTCGAAGAGTTCAAGATCGCCTAAATTCCTCAGGCGGAGAACGCGGATGCAGACCTTCTCTCCGAGTTGACGCAGTATGCTCCCGAGCATGTTTCAAAACTTGCCCGGGTAGAGATCCTTGATCGTGCAAGCATCGAAAAATTGGAAGTCGACGCTATAACGGCCGGAAGCCAATATGACCGGTCAAACTTGGTCGGGGCGGACGACCATTGGATGTATGATCTGATGGAATATTTGATGGATGGGAGCTTGCCAGAACAAGATGACCGGGCAAGAAAAGTGAAGCTCAGGGCACCCCGATTCCAGGTTCTTGATGGAAAGCTGTATAAAAGGGCGTTTGGGGGGCCACTCCTGAGATGTCTGACCAACCGGGAGGCTGAGCGAGTCATAGCGGAGGTTCACGAAGGCGTATGCGCGGCGCATCAAATGTCCCGTACGCTTTCCCAGCGCATCATCTTATTGGGGTATTACTGGCCAACAATTGTCCAGGATTGTGAAAGGTATGTACAGAAATGCAGAACATGCCAAGTGTTCTACAAGTACCCCGGTAGACCGGCGACCTACTATCACCCTGTATCGAATGTCATCCCATTCGCTAGATTCGGGGTTAATATCATTGGAGCCTTCCTAGTCGCCCAAGGAGGGAAGAAGTTCGTAATCGTAGCCATCGATTACTTCACCAAATGGATCGAGGCCGAGGCATTGGCCAACATCACCACGCAGCAGTGCAAGAAATTCATTTGGAAGAACATCATCACGAGGTTTGGAGCGCCCATGAACCTCATCACCGACAACGGCCCACAATTCCGAAATCCGAGGTTCACCGAATACTTTGAGGGCTTCGGAATCAAGCACAATCGCTCCTCGGTAGCGTACCCCCAAGGGAATGGCCAAGTCGAAAACGCCAACCGAACGATTGTGGATGGTCTAAAGAAACGGCTGGGAGAAGCAAGAAACAAGTGGCTGGAAGAGCTCCCACACATCGTATGGGAATTCCGAGTAACACCCAGGAGGGCTCATGGGGAAACTCCATTCTCCCTAACCTATGGGTGTGAAGCAAGGCTACCCATCGAAGCTGAATTCCCAACATTCCGGGAATCAAATTATCAACCCCAACAAAATGAAGAAGACCACTTGGCCGAGCTCAACTTGGTCGAAGAACGAAGAATGGCCGCGGAGGTTAAAATGAGTACATACCAACAAGTTGTGAAGAAGTACCATGACAACAAGGTTGGGCCGCGGTACTTCCAAGTTGGAGATGAAGTCCTACGAAGAAGAGAAGCAAGTAGACCCGGCGATGGAGGAAAGCTGGCAAAAAATTGAGAAGGCCCATACAGGGTTAGAGCCATCATTCGACCAGGAACATACCGGTTAGAAACTTTAGATGGTGTACCGATAGAAAGAACTTGGAATTCCCACCATCTTCGCAAGTTCTACAAATGATTGTAATACTAGGCGAGGCCTAACTACGTTATCAATCAAAGTGATGTTCAATACTCTACTTGGTAGCGACAGAATTGATAGGTCGAACCTATCCTAGGAGGGTTTCCTGGGTGGATCAAATCCACTTGGATAAGCCAACTGAGACACAGGCCCGGACCTGGCACGCTGGTTACTACACCGGTCTTGCTCAGTATAATAGAAAAAATATTAAAACCCGGAAGAGGGGCCCGGAAGAGGGTATGCCTGCAAGAAGGCTGGACCTGGAAGAGGGTTCGAACCGTACTTACACGAGCCCATGAGGTTTAACTGGTGTCGGGGAATCAGCCGGCGCCGTCAAATTGATTGGGGACTAAAAGATGCCCATTAAAATAAATAGAAGGGGATCGTCCACCGTGGCACATCCTGTTTCCCCCTTCTCAGGGAAGACTTGAACGGGAGGGTTAGCTAAGGCCTTCCCGGGATGGTAGAAATCGAAGGGCCATTAAAAGACTTAATCACCCGGAAGAGGGGGCCCTGGAAGAAGGGTGCATTTGAACCTTGGAGAGGGTTCGAAACCATTCGACATGGTTAAATCTCCAGTATTCTTACCGGTTGAGGATATTTCAAGAATTACTAGGTTACAGGTGTTTCCATCTACAACCTACCGGTCAAAAAAAAAAAGAATACCCCGGTCGGGTATGGGCACAACAGAACTTCAAAAGTTCCACATTCACCGGTCAAAATAAACTTTGTCGAAGAATTCGTGAAGCCATCCAAAAAGCAAAAGTTTAAGTTCAACCGGTTCACTGTAGTTCAACCGGGTTGGACTTAGCGTATTCAAAAACAAGCCAAGAAAGCGAAAACTAAAGTTTGACTGGTCAAAGTTACTCGAGCCGATCCTTCACATAAAGTGATCAAAGAGAACTTTGATGTTCTACCGGTTGAAAATAATTGAGAAGTGGCCTGATTTATGTACCGGTTAGAATTTCTACGAAGATATTCTAAGGAGCAAAATGGAAATTTCAATCAAAAGGAAAGATCAACCGGCATGGAAATCAAACATCGCATTCAATAAAAATTTGAGGAAGATAAGTGTTTTACACCTACACCGGGCATTCCCGGGGAAATGAGTTTGAAGTTTTAAACGATCCAACCGGGCGCGCAGCCGGGGAGATTTCATTCCAAGGGGAAAGGGGGCTCGGGTTCTTCATCGGGGATGGGTGCCAGGCCATAAGCATCGGCAGAGAAGGCCGGGTCCCGCTCAGCCAAGATTGCATGGGTAGCCTCCCGGTCTCGTTTCTGCCCGGACATGAAACCGTAAGACCTAACCTAAGTGACCATTTTCCCGGTGAACGGGTCCCCTCGGAGAAGCTTCTCTAAACTTTCTTCCAAGTCTGTAGCGCTAGCCGGCTCGGTGTATTGCGGCTTCAGGATGTGGTCACTCCACTTTAAGCCGACCAAGGGAGACGTGGTGGGAAACTTTAAAAAAACAAATTTTTCCTTCCACAGCCGGTTGCTTTGTGGAAGGTCAGAAATGAATTGGCGACCTTTACGGCCCTTGAAGTAGACATAGTCGTCGCAACCCGACTTACCGGGAAGGACTTCAAACAAATAGAGGAAAAAGCGAAGGGAAGGGTCGATTTTGAGATGGGTGCAGATATTTACAAAAGCATTAAGAAAACGATGGGCATTGGGCATAAGTTGCCCGGGGAGGATCTTGAAACAGTGGCACAACTCGACCAGAAGGGGGCGAAGGGGGAAGACGGTGCCACTCTCCAGGGAGATGATATGGAACCCTACCCTATCATCCCGGTGAGGCTCGATGATGTTGCGCCAGTTAGGGTCGTATTCAAGGACATACCCCTCCGGGAGGTTCCTACGTGCCTTATTTTGGGCGATATTGGAAACGTGGGGGTAGATGTCTGAAGGGTAGCTAGTGAGGAGGGGAAAGTAACCGGCCGCTTCCAGCCGGTTCACCCATCCCTCATACGACTCGTTGTCAGGGTCATAGGGGACCGGCTCATCGTCAACCGGTTCATCCCTCTCCTGAAAAACCTGAACAGGCATTTGGTTAACAGGCTGCGGTTTAGGGACGGTGGTGTTGGGGCCTGACCAGGTTTCGAAACTAGATAGAGAAGACTCGGTCGAAGAAGAGGAGGTTGAGGATTCCTCGGATACGTAGGCATTCGAGGAAGAGATACCCTGACTATCAGAAGAAGACATTGACCGGGGACGAAAACTAAGAGTTAATAAAGAAGAGAAAGGGGCTTACTTGGCTCGGAGGGCTGGGAAGACAAGAGAGAGGAGCTTGACCGGTGAAACTTAGGAGACGCGCGAGAAGAAGTGAAGAAATGAATGGGGTGAAGCCTTTATATCGGCGAGGAGGAAGGAGAAGGAGGCGACGTGGCTTCACCAGGGCGCGGCGCGTCAGGCGGCGCCATCATTATGCCTGGGAAGACGAAAGGACGCGGGTCTGTTGCCGTCCAGCAGGCCACACGTGTCAGAACGTATACTTTTTGAATTTTGAATTCAAATGTTTTGAGTGGGAGAGGCCGAAATTTCAAAATTTAAAGTCCTGTTTCAGATTTTTACTTCCCGCTTATGACAGAATTGCATAACCGAGAAGTGGAGGGCTTATTGATGGGTGTATTTCACCCATGACCGGTCAAAGGTCAGAGCCAGATAGTTGACCGGTCAAAGGGGTCAAACTTGAGAGAAAGATCCGTATCGTTGGCGGAGTGATGACGGGTCGAACGCAAAGTTGACCGGTATACTTCGGATAGTATACCGGTCAAATTACTCCATCATCTCGAACCAATTTCCGAAGTCAATTAATCAACCCGCGATGACCAGCCGGGGCAGTTTTTCAAGATCGATGAGTGTCGGCAGGAAGGATCCAAAATAACTTGGACTGTAGTGGTTGGCATTGCTGGGGAACCAGTGGAGATGCTGGAGGAATATTTCCAAGCCAGAACGCCACAAGGGGGGTAATCCCCCTCGCAAGATGACAAGGTGGCTCAGGGACAGTCATCTCGCACCACATCAGCAGCATGCCCCCTTGTAACCCTCGAGGAAGGGGATCGGAATTCATTCTCTCTAAGCTCCCTTGTAAAAGCACGCGTGCATTCTCCGTTATAATATAGATTGGGCTACAAGTGTTCCACCTAAAGTCCTACTGGTCAATCTGCGTGTTTTTGCCTTTCTTACTTTGCCAAATCAAGCAAAGTATTCTAGACCCGGTCTAGTATAGTTTGACCGGTCAAGTAATTTACACCATCAGTAGTGTTTGATTATTAGTCAGCTTCTTACTCCTTTTGTGTTAGATGTTGTATTTTAGTTAGCCTCCATTCTCCATTCCTAGTTGTGTTAGGAGTCTCTTCCATATATACTCTATTATGTACTTCATAATTCAATAGAGCAATATTATTATTCCAATATTTCAACAAAATCAATGCCTAATGAAGATGCATTTTTTCGGAGAAAAAAAAAGGATGAATGCAATAAGTTGGAAGTATTTCTAACTTCTACGATGCAGTCTCAATTATAGAGCATTTGGAAGCTAATTAAAAAAAATCATAGTCATCGTGACTGGCGGCAATCTTTGCTCTGATGGATATAGGCGGTGCGATATATCTGCAAAGGGAAGAGATAGTGGGGCGGCGGTGATGTACTGCACTTGGGGTGGATTTGACGGAGGCAACGCTTCAAAATGATGAGGGTGCGCGGTGGCCCAAAAGGAGAGAGAAAGAAGAGAGAGATGCATGGTGGGGCGGCCGTAAGAAGATGGAGAGGAGAAAGATGAGATTAATTAAAGATTTAATACTATTAATGAAGTTTTCTTTATTAATTAAATAATTACTCCTATTTAGAGAAGTTTATGTTTATACTCCTATTTTGAAGATATGACATATGTTTTCCTCCTATTTAGGGGTTTTCTTTACTTATTTCTCACTATCCATACTTTCTTTTTTAAACACACTATCCATACTTTAATTTTTCACCTGTTCTGAAAAAAGATTTCCATTTCGTTCAAAACTTTATTTTGATTCTACTAATTACTCCGTACTAACTACTAAGCCACATATCTATCATATTTATCTAATACTCTCTCCGTCCAAAAAAGATTGGTACATATTGACTTTTTGGGAAATTGAAGGAGCGATATTTTATTGTTGACTTTCCAAAAGTATCTTTGATGTGATGTGTAAAAATAGGATGTGATGAGTAGATTATTATAAAAAAGATATGATGTGATAGGTAGGGTATGAAAAAGTAAGTGAAAAAAGAGACTTTACGGTACGTAGTTTTTTCGAAACGAGTCGGATCGACTTTTTGGGACGGAGGGAGTATTAACTAACTAAACATTTTATCTACTCTACTATAGCGCAAGGAAAAACTGAAAAATAACATTAAAAATTATGGCAAATTTTATAGTGGACCTAAGGTTCACTATGAACTTACATATGAACAAAATAAGCATTTCTTTACTACTTATATAAGCATTTTTTTTATAAAAAATTTGAAAAAAAGATTATTAATATGAGAAGGTCAACAAAAATGATATGCACCCAAGCTGCACCAAAGAAGCACTCTAAAATTATACTCCCTCTGTTGAAAATTATCTTCTCGTTCACTATCCAAAGAATCAAACTTTTTTCACTTTGTTGGCCTATTTTCGTTGCCCATTTGATAAAATAATACTCCCTCCGTCCCTGAGTATTTGTCCATTTTTGACTTTTTTCGGTCAAAATTGGTAAACTTTGACCTCAAATTCAATAAAAATGATATTAGATATTGATACAAAAAGAGTTTTATTAGATTTATTATATCAAATATTTTCAAAATATTATTTTATTTAATTAAAATACAATATATATTTTATTTAATTATAGGTTAAAGGTTGAAAACAGTTGACCGAAAAAAGTCAAAATTGAACAAATACTCAGGGTCGGAGGTAGTTTAATCTTGTCACTTCTAGATTTGTAGATCTTATAATGTACTCTGTAGTTTTTAAATACTCCCCCTGTCCCCAATTTGATTACAAACTGGGGTTTACGAGGAGAAATATCTCACT